AAAAAAAAAACAAAAAAAAATAAAACAAAGCGCTAATTACACTTAAATACTAGAAAAAATAGAGAAAAAGCAATAAATTTCAATTCCTTATCTCCTCATCACCTACTATGTTTCATGCTGCAAGAAAAAGCCTGTTAAACCAGCCAATACCTAGAAGCAACCTACTGAAATTGAGTATCAAAGATTGTCCCCTCTCAAGCTGTAGTAACAATTTTATCTAATGATGCTCCTAAATACCGCTCAAAAACCAAGATATTATTACTCATTCATGCTTAAAACAGTTTTAAAAGCCCAATCGAAACACAAAAAAGACAACTTTACTGCAGTATAGTAACTTATAAATAAAAATGAAGAATTTTACTTGAGTGAAGAATGACAAGAAGCAGAACTGCCTATAATTTTAATACTACACCTAACTGATTTGTTTTTCTAACTCGGTTTTACTCCCAAATAAAAAGAAATTAATGACAGATATACTGATGATGAGTAGAATAAACAAAAAAAATTCAAAAAAAAAAAAAAAAAGAATTCGGAAGTTAACAGAGCAGAAGCAAAAGTAAAAAACAAGTAATTAGAAATAGAGAAAAGACTAGTGCGCTCTAAAACTTCAAAACAATCTGAAAAAAGATATATAGTACGACAAATTTGACAAGATGTTTTAGAAATTGTAAAAACAGTTAATTTTAAAACAGAAAAATCTCACGGTGATTGATAACTACATGCGCCAACTGCTGGCATTTTTTTCACCCTCAAAAATCGTATAATTATATAAAATGCTCCAACTTCAACACAGTATAGGGTTTCTCAAAATAATGAGACACGAACAATTCAGTGTTAAGCAGCTAATGTTGATGTTTGACCTTTGAAAAGGAAGAATGAATAGGCTTATTGGTTTTAAATAATCTACTGTTGAGTGGTATTGTATTGCAACAATTTATCAATGCTATTCCTACCACCAATGATAAAATTTCTCGATACTCACTAAATGACAGTACAGGAATTCTTTAAATTCATAATCCTAATGCTAAAAAAACTGGAGCCGGTAAAAGAAGACGAACCTTTTCTACCGAAAAAAATGTGATCCCACAACACACGATGTCTGACTACCACCTCATTTTTCTTTTCGAAAATTAACGTAAACACAAATATGGCCTGATAAATCATCACGTACAGCTGGTGCGAATCTCGGAAGCAAACAATTAAAAAAATGTATCGAATATCTCAAAAATTCTTAAACCTGGTTTAAAACGTCAGACGTCTTCATGAAACTTTAACTCAAGTGTACACAAAAGTTTTTTCCAAAACCACGATCTTCCCTCTGAAACATACAAATAATGAATATGCGACTATGACAACTAAAGTTAACCATTAGTTAACGTCCAGTAAAAAAACGAAGATGAAAAAAAAAGACAGACATGAGACGATGAAAGAAGAAGAGAATGGAGTGTTTGAAAACAAATCTAGACCTACCTCACTTAAAAATAATTTCTTTGTGAACAATAATCAATTATCTCCTCCTATGATTACTTGAACTGATACAAGCACCAAGAACCAGGTTACTTCAAGCATTTAACCAAAAGTATTTATCATTTAAATGAAAATCTGAAGAAATGGCACTAATATAGGCAAATTTGGAGTACCATCACCATGTAAACAATACAAAACAGAAGGCTGCTTTGCCAAGCGGAGACAGAAAACCTGACAAAGAAATAAACTCAGCAACAATGACACTGTGGCAAATTCAAAAGTTCACCGAATTGAACAACCGTTTAGAATACCAGATCTAAATCTAATACTCATAAGCACAAAATTTTTGCATTACTTATTCACGGAGTAAAGCTTAATAGCTAAGTAAACTTTAAGAGGAAGAAGCTAAAAGTTCACAACAAAATAACCTAATTTAGAATTGCTAACTAGCGCAAAAAAGTACGAAGCTGCAGTCCAAACTTCGTCAATCTTTGCGAAAAAGTTTTATTAAAAAAAAAGTTAAAGAGGGAATCTAAGTTTACATATTTCACGGGACACTCAACACTGACTGCGTAAATCCTATACAGATCTAATAACTGTTATTGACGAGTAACACAGAAACCAGATGAAATTTTAGAAAATTACTGTTTCAAAAAGTCTAAAGTTTTGGAGTCTCTCAGGTCTAGAAGCGACAAAAAGCCAAGAAAAGTCCTTCCCTTTACACTAATAACCAGAGTTTTCAATGCCTTTAGCAAGTGCTAATTCCATCTAATTTCAGGAACCTCCCCCTCTCCTCCATCAAATGAAAATACTTTTTTCTAAAGCCACAGGAAGTGATTTCAAAGAAAATTTTACACTTACATGATGAAGCGAATTCTTTTTATTCTGAGAACGCCTTCTAGCACGCTCGTTCCTGGACTCATTTCGTCGATGCCGCTCCGCTGTATTGCATGCCCTTTTATGCGCCCATGAAACTGATATCGATGATGACTGTCGAGTCCTACGTTTCCGTTCTCGACCCATTCCAACCTAAAAGACATTGTTCTAGCATATCCAACAACTACCAGAACAACTGTCAAGATTTATTAAAAGCAGTAAGGCCAACGTAGGAACCTTGACGAAAGCTGGTACCGGGCCTGTAGTTTTTCAAAACTGTTTTTATAATAATCTTCAATAATCCTTTCCTCCGCCTTTTACGTTCAGCAGCGGTCACCTTTGGCACTCCGATATCACCTATGGCTAAAACATTTTAAATAACTCTAATGCCCACTTTGACACTAAATTTCGCTATACTAAATACAAAACAAACATGATTAACAATTGCGTTTATTTGTACTTCACAATTAAAGAAACGAATCAAGTACCACACAGAAAAACCACAATTTTTTAGCTACTTCAAAAAAAGATTTCTGCCTAACGTTTACAGTTAGCTTAAAAAATAACTTAAACCCCTTAATCCAGCAGCTATATCATTCTCGTAATTCTGCTAAATGATCAATAAAGCTGTCAACTAATGAAACTACTATTTCATGCCAAAAATACACTTCATACGCAGCAGCAGTTCAAAACTGACAATGCTGCAAAAAATATCAACAGTACTGACCGATAAAAGAAGCACAGCAGAAAAAAAAAAAAAAAAACAGAGACTGCCTCAAAGACAATAATTCAGTAATAAAGCTGGAACTTGATCAAAAAAAAAAAAAAAAAAGAGGAGAAAAAACTCCTATTCAATTCATCAAATCATCCGATAACACCTAACTGTGTGTCCCCAGTCGTATATTATTACATAATTCGAGTGCACCAGCAAAATGAAAAAAGCTCATCTTAAAAGATTTTCTTCACAAATTTAAAAGATAGCTTAAAACCAATTTTACGGAACAAAAAACCACCACAACGACAAAATTCAGAAACCAACAGGAGTAAAAGATCAATAATCGAATAAATTTCCTTAAAGCATTTCATCTCTGAAAAAAACCAAAAGAAAAAGCTACTATGACAGCAAACAAACCTCAAGTCTTACTTAAGACATATGTATATATATACATGTTCATAATCCAAATACTCAAGGATCCAGCTTCAAGCCGTTTTTTGCAACCTTTATCGCCAACAACAGCGGCAACAACTGTTACAACTACAATTATGATGACAGCGGCAACGACAACAACACAAACGACGATGAAGATGGCGACGAAAGCTACCAAAAAATGGACTGAAACTGGCAAG